GAAAGATGAGGCTTTCTGCTCCCGTAAAGATTTACAGCCTCGGAAACCCTGTACAGGGTCACTATGAGTCGGAACTGACTCCACGGCACATAACAGCAACAGCAACATTAGCTTCACATTCTTCCTACTGTATATCGTTTCCTTGCCATGGTTACAATCCCCTCCATGCATCATCAACCAACCAAAGTGTATACCCTGCAAGCCTGCCCTCCTGTCGTCAGCACACAGCCCCTCGACCTCTCTCAGTTCAAAGTCCCCAGCCACTCCATCCCTCCACATAATCATCTCTGCCTCCATCTTTGACATCACTGCTTCTCTGGGTAGGGTTCTGCTCTCCACTCTTCTTCCTTGATGTTCCCAAGGGACCTCTGCAAAATTAATCACTCCCCTCTTTTTGCCACAAAATGTCTACCTTTACATTTCCAACACTTACAAACAGTCCTGATAACAATTATTCATTACTGTATTGCAAGAGACCTATCCGTATCTCTTTTCATCAGCCCCTCCTAGACAGATTGGGTACTACTCAGTGGAGATTCTACCTTATTCAACACCTTCAGGATCTAGGTTCCCTCTTGAAAGCTTGTAAGCCAGTCACTTCTTACCTTTGTAGTCTCCCCAGTGTCCAAGTTGCCCATCCCTGTCCACTCCATCTATGGAGGGGGTGAGAATGATCCTCGCTGTGAAGATTTATTCCGTTTTGAGCTACTGCATCCATAGGTGTAGGTCAAGTTCATCAAATTATATCTGATTACTCTTTTTTTTTTCCTCTTCTTTCTTCTTCTAGTTGAGCTCTGATCATCCAGTCATTGAAGCCAGGTCAAGTGGGTATTATCTGCAAGTGTGGGTGTACTTATGCATGTGCCTTCTCTTCCTATCAGCTGGACTCTTCACTCTCCACTCTAGTCCTCTGTGGCTATGTCACTGACTCTGGGTTCGAGTCCCCAGTTCTTGCCACACTGCTGGCCAGCCAGGTCTCTACTCAGGTTTATAGGAGTCTATTGAATGTTGTAGGGCTTAGCTTGCAGCGTCGTTGCTGTTTTCCCCTCACTTCTCCTTATCAGTGAAGAACATGGTCACCAATCAGAGCATGTACTCCCATTGCATCTTAAGTCTTAGAAGGAGGTTTGCCCTGAGGGGACCCGACCACTTGCCTTGACGTCTCCTGAGTGAGCCACTTGTTTGTTCTTGTATTAATCAGTCGGTCTGCCTATATTGTTTTGTGTTTTTCCTGTCAGTGTTTCTTTCAAGAAGTATCTTCTGTTTTTCTGGCCATTCCAGGCTGGTCTGCTTGTCCTTTCAAGTGGAAATTTCCCACCTCAGAAGATTCTGGTGGATATGTTCTTCTTTTTTTTTTGGATATGTTCATTTTGACAATGAATGCAACACCATTCTTCTTCAATTTGTTATTTCCGTCATAGTAAACCATGTGGGGAATATACATTTTAGATGCAGCTAGGCTTAATGGAAATGCATTTCTCTCATTTTAATTATTATTCAGATAGTTCTTCATAGCTGTATGAGTTATTTGAATGTTCTAGTCCAGTCTCATAGCTGGCCCCTTTTCCTTATTTCTGTGTCATGGTGAATTCTTTCATGATTCTTGCAACTCCCACTTGAAAGGAATGACAGTGACCAAAGATGTCTTAAAAACCTAATGTGTATTATGAACACATCACCAGGTTGTCCACAAACAATTGTTTCTCTCATTTTAGGTGACACACTAGGCGTTCCCTTCTCTGCCACTCTCAAGATATGGCTGTGCGATTTGCTTTGGCCAATGAAACAACTGCTTAGTTATATTTGTCATTTGCTAGCAGAAGTTTTAGAGTCCTGGTGTGGTACTGTAGTATGAAACACTGGATTGCAGGGTCGGTTTGTACCACAAGGTTGGCAGTTGAAGCTCACCAGCTGCTCCTTGGAAGCCCTATACAGGTTCACTATGAATCAGAACCAACCCAATGGCACTTAACAATAACAGAAGCATTCAGAGCCTGTGTCACAGTTTCTCGGCTGTCGGCATTTGTGGAAGTATGTATTGTAGTGAAGCCTCTATCAGCCTAGGTCTGAGTCACTGCAGCAAGCACAGCCCCTTTCCCCCACCACTGGCCCTGAGAGTCATATCGGATGCAAAATAAATGTTAGCTTTTATCATTGGAGCGGAATTCAGTCTAACCTGACACAATGCCTAAGGCCAAAAAATTAACAGTGGAGCTCCAATCACAAGTTCCAAGATGAGAGTTTTACTTTCTCCTAAAAGGGAAAAGAAAGCCAAAAAGTAACAAATAAATCTTTACCTCACTGTCGGTTCTCCATTAACTAAAAAACCATCACATCTTTAAAATGTTTACATTGCTTTACAAATAATTTTCTTCTAACTGGGATAGTTTCTTCTTCAAGAGACTTGAACTATCAAAAATGAAGTTTAGTGCATTTAAGGCTTTGTTCTCTGGGCCATCTGCATTCGATACTACCGAGATGCTTGTTACAAATGCAGATTCCCTGGTCTTGGCCTCTTCAGTGAATGCTGTAGTTAGTTCCTAACTCCTAGGAGCTTCTGTAATCTTGGTCTTTAATGTAACATTCAAGTTCCTTGTCAACAAAATGTCTCCCTGAGTTTAACACATGTTTTAATAGTGGAGTAGAAATATTAGCTTAAGAAACAAGGCCATCACAATTATGCAGAAAAGAATTTTATTTAGTGGTAAGACCCCAATGGATAATGTCAGTTTGCCCAATTCTGCTCAAATGTGCTATTAGATATACTGTTAAGAAAGTGTACAGTGCATCACCAAAAGCCATTTAATTTGGATTGTGTACAGTAAAAGAAAACTTCGTAAACCTTTGTCCTTTGATATAATATAAAAATGAAAAAAGAAACAAATGCAGTATTCAAAAATAAAAAAACTGTCACCTTGGACTATTTACAGTTAAATGTCTTTTTAGTAGGAGAATACTCTGCTTGTTTTCCTCACATTTTCCATATACCTTACAAATAGTCTCACTCCCCCATCTGACCCTTATTCCTGAGTTCTTCCATTCCTGTATCTCGTTACAGTTTTCTGTTGGTGTTATTAAGTGCCATTGAGTCAGTCCTGACTCAGCAACCATGTATAGGGTTTCCAAGGAGGGGCTGATAAATTTGAACTGACGACCTTGCAGTTTTAACTAACCTTGTAGTCAAGTGCTTATCCTACAGTGCCACACCAGGGCTCCTATTTTCTTGAAAAGTTCTCACTCAATTTTGAATTCTTCCTCCTTACTTACAATTACTTCTAATTTGATTCAGCAGACATTTATTGAGCACCTAAGATGTGCCAGGCACTGTCCTGGGAGGTGGGGATAAATACAGAGGGAAAAAGGCATTGATTCCCTCCTCAAGAAGTGCAGACTTTGGGATAACTGGGAAACAATGGAAATCCCAGACCCCTAGCAAGTAAACTCGGGGATTTCTTGAAACAAAATGCATTCATGGAGGGTCTGTCAACTTGGCCCACTCTGACGTTTTTGGGATTTGGAATTTTGCTCTTTTAAGACGCACAGCCTCAAAAGCCTCAGCTACCATTTGAAGGCTGGAGTTCTGAACTCTAGTGGGTGGGAACTCTTCTGTGGAGAGTAGTAGGGAACCAGCTGCCTGAATTTGTGTTTTAGGGGAGGGTAATTTTTTATTAGACTTTTAGAAATAACTAGTTTGAAAAGCCCTTAATCCACAAATGATACTGAATCTGAGCAATAGATACATTTTAGGGAACACCCCCTGATTTGGACTTGCACCAAGAGGCTCTAAAAGTCCTACCTTTCCTAAATGTCTAGTAGGAGCTGTTGTTATTACTTCCAAATATATTTCTTTGCACTTTTCTTTGTCCATTTTCTTAGTTTCAAATGTACAAGCAGCAAATAAAGCCTGAAGGTGAGTTTTTTTTGTTTGTTTTTGCTTTTGCTTTTATCAGGGATGAACCAAAGCAAACTCAGCCCTTGGCTTTGGTCTATATATTTTTTGCCCACGAGGTCTAGAGAGACCCATGATAGATCCTTAAATGAAAACAAGAAAAAAAGGTAAACCATGAAATTAAAGAAACAAAGCTACATGGCATACTATAGAAGCAAACACTAAACCTTACGTTCACTGCCCCATCTTGTCCCATGCTTGACAGACCATACCTCTACAAACATTCACATTTGGAAATATTTTGTAGTCACATTGGATCAAGTCTAAATCATGGTAGTGGGCTTCACTCTCACAGTTTGTGGAGTGTATGCCTTTCATTGAATTCACACAGTTCGCGGCTGAATGACAACAGATTGCGTTTTCTTGGGAAAGTTCTCCCTTTGATCCCGTGCCTTTCCACAGGTTACACCAGGTCACATCTCAAGGGTTTCCATCCAATTCAATGATACACGATTATCCATTCAAGAGTATTAGCTCCAGATTCTGAACTTCCCAGCGAGCTGGTCCCAAGTTCTTTGGATTTGAAGGCCATTTTGGGAGTTGGCATTATCCTACATGACATTTGGCCTACCCTACTCTGGTAGGGTGAACACATGTCTGAAACGTGAAGAGAATGAGAAGAGCAAGGGAAAAAGACGTGATCATGCACAAGCTTGCTCTGTCGTGCATATTTTCTCAGTGTAACAGTGTGCTATCTCGACACATAAGGGCTTGTGCTTTTTCTTAAAAGAAACAAGTCGCCCTGAAAAGCTCATTTGGCAAATGTGGCCATGAATGGATGCCTGGTGTGTGTGCGCGCGTGTGTGTATGAAAAATGTGTCATGAGGTTCTGTATCAAGTTCTGTGAGTGTGCCCTCCTGGCCTGGCCTCCACTGTCACACCCACCTCAACAGCAAGGAGAAGCTGATAGGTTACACCTGGTCGGTTTGATATTCAGAAGCTTCTGACAGGCTTTCTGAGAAGCTTAGGAAATTCTCCTGGTACTCAGAGCAAACAATCTCATAGCGATAATGCCGGAACTCCACAGCAAAAGTGCCAAAGTAAGACAGGAAGCACATGACTAAGCCCCACTGGATCCTGGCTGCATACATGTGGATGCGTTGGGCCATGAGGATGAAGTCTGGGGAGAAGCAGTCAAGGAAATCACCTGTATCAGCCACATTAGAACTGGACTCTGTTTTGGGCAGAGGTGATAGAAGTCTGGCTCTCCCTACTCATTAGCAAAACTGGTAGTTAGACTGAGCTTGCTGAACGCACATATTTAAGTGGTAATGAGAGATAGCATTACTGAGCTCTTATTTTGTGACAGACACGGCTCTAAATGCTTTCAAGGATGACCACAACCGTGTAATTGTCATCAGTTCACTTACCGATCGGGAGACAGAAGCCAAGTGGTTAAGTAACTTGTCTGAGATCACACAGGTTGTAATTGATGGAACTTGGATTTATACACAAGCATCCTGATTCACTATACACTGACCTAATAAACTACGATTAGCAAGTGAATTTCAACTCCAAAGTAATTAGCTGGCCAGAAAAATGAAATCACTGGAAATGGTTTTGGGTCATGTTGCTGTTATCTCTTAATTGCCGTCGAGTTGGTTCTGAGGAGCGGCTGGTGGGTTTGAACCACCAACCATGTGGCTAGTAGCCCAGTGCTTATTCTATAGAATCATACCATGACTCCTATCATTATACATCATTATATCTACAGAAATGATTTTAAGCCTAACAAATTGCTAATCACCTCCACATGGTGGTGGTTGTATACAGTGAAGTTGGTTCCAACTCACAGTGACCGTACAGAGTTTCTGAAGCTGAGAATCTTGTTATGCCATCAAGTCAGTTCCATCTCATAGCGACCCTTTATAGGGTTTCCAAGGAGCAACTGGTGAGTTTGAACTGCTGACCTTGCAGTTCAGACTGGCCTTGTGATCCAGTGCTTATCCTATAGTGCCACACCAGAATCTTAAAGAAGCAGAAAGCCTCATCGTTCTCCTGCTGAGTGCCTGGTAGATTCGAACTGCTGACCTTTTAGTTAGCAGTCCAACGCATTACTCACTACACTACCAGAGCTCCCTAATCACCTCCATATAATAATAATGTCCAATAGACGCCTCTTCCCCTTTAATTTTCACTATAGTCTCTCAGACAATATTTAACGGAAATAAAGAACCTGCAATAATAGCTCACTAAAAAGCCAACTATGAATGTATAAGCTAGTTTTATTCCTAGTGTCAGATTTTAATTGTGCCCAAATGAAAATAAGTAATTAAAAAAAAAAATGAGATCACGAGATGCCTATGTCTGAATATAACCTTACCTGAGATACACGGGGGTAGGAGTAGGGAGGGAGAAAGATTCTTCTTTCAAAAGGTTAATGATTGAATACATTTATTCAAAAAATAAAAAATATTCCCTTAGAATTAGTTTTGCCTCCAGAATGAGACTTAAAACTTTGGGAAATTTTCAGGTGATGTGAATATATGGAACCACTTGGCCAAACTGCTCTCCTGACTAAGTCTTGAGTCCATTCATCTGAGAACCAAACCTTTTCCCAGGTAGTCAGAAACAATACAGATCAGAGCCATTTGGTATAAGTTCAAATCTCAGGATAAATATCAAGCCTGTCCACACTACTTAACTTTGCCAATAACGTTGTTGTTGTTAAAGTGACATTGCGTTGGTTTCGACTCATAGCAACCCTATAGAGGATTTCCAAGGAGCAACTGCCGATCTTGTGGATTTGAACTGCTGACTTTGTGGTTTGCAGTCTGGTGCTGACCCTGCAGTGCCACACCAGGAGTCCTTTTTTTTTCTGCCAAATAAATAGTACTGTATTAAGTTACTGGTGAAATGATAAATCTTCAGAGCCCATCTAGTCAGGTTTTTGACCTTTTTACTTGTGAAATCCTTTATCAAGTTGCTAGCAAGCAACAAGTCTTTTAGCTTAAATTTCAAGTTCTTAAATGCTCTCTTAACTAATGTGACAACCAGTGGAATGACTGAATGGCAGTTTCTGAGGGAATAGGATAGAAAAGACTAAAATATTCCACTCATTAGAGAACATCTAAATGATAAATGTTGATTTAATATTTCAAGGCCAACTTTCTTGAAAGCTGGAAAGGTGGGATCATGTAGTGGTTATGAATGCAAGGACTGAGCCTGAGTTTCAAACTTAATCCACCACATCCCACTGGTGTGATCTTGGTCAGATGAATTTCTCTGTGCTTCACTTTGTTACCTGCTGTGATGGTTAAAGTTACGTATCAACTTGGCTAAGCCATTAGTCTCAGTGGTTTGGAAGATACTGTGTGATCATCTTCCATTTGTGATATGATACAAGCAGTCATTCATTTCAAAGGGGAGTTTCCTTGGGGGTGTGGCCTTCATCAGATATATATGGATGTTCTGGCAAAGTTTGTCCTCTCTTGATCCAACTCATCAACCTCTGACATCCAGCTCTTGGGACATGAGCCAGCAACCTGCCATCTGACCTGAAGATTTCTGTGTTCATCAGCCACATGAGTCAGGAGATGCCACTAGCCTGATGTCTGACCCATGGATCTGGGACCTGCCAACCTTCATAACTAAATGAGCCATTTCATTGAAATAAGTCTCTCTTTATGTACTTATGGATGCCTGGTGTGGCGATGTAGAATCAGCAATGGACTTTGAACCACAAGGTCAGCAGTTCAAACCCACCAGCTGCTCCTTGGAAACTCTATATAGGGTCGCTATGAATCAAAACCAACTCAACAGCACTTCACAACAGCAACTACATAGTTATATATATACACTTTACTACTATTGTTCCTCTAGAGAACCCAGCCTAAGACACCAACTAAGTGGGAAGTAAAGAGTTGATACATTTAAAACATGTTGAATAGTGTGTATTGTTTTTGTTGCATGTTGTCTAGTTGCTTCCAATTTATGACGACCCCACGTGATAGAGTAGAACCACTTCATAGGGTTTTCTTGGCTGTAATGTTTTCAGACAGATCACCAGGTCTTTCTCCTGTGGAGCTGCTGGCTGAGTTTAAATGAGCAACTTTTAGGTTAATAGTGGAACATTTAATTGTTGAGTCACCAGGGCTCCTAGGTTATAAATGTTGACTATCAATCATTATGATAGGAGTTGTGTGATTGTATTGACTATATGCTTTACCATTTGTTGTTGTTCAGTGCCGACAAGTTAGTTCTGACTCATCGCGACCCTGTATAGGGTTTCCAAGGAGCAGATGGTGAGTTTGAACCATCAACCTTGTGGTTCAAACCAACTTTGCAGTCTAGCGCATTAACCCACACCACCACACCAGGACTCCAGGACTCCACTGATTATTGTTAAGTGCTGTCCTGTTTGTTCCAACCCATAGTGACCCTGTATAGGGTTTTTGAGGAGCAACTGGTGAGCTTGAACTGCCAATCTTGCAGATGAAGCTGACTTTTCAGTCCAGTGCATTAACCCACAGCACTACACCAGGACTCCATTTAGAAACCTTTATTCCCTTCCTCTCTGATTTCCTGAGGAGGACCTGTTGGAGTGGAAACTGATTACTGAGACTCACAGAATGAATGGCTGACTTGATTGGTGGGATGTGAAATGGCCATCTTCTATTGAACCATGTTACTAATAAGAGGGGCCACTGTGCTTCATCCTAGAGCAGTCTCTCTGTCTTATCTAGAGAGTAGAGGAAAATTGTAAATGCAATGGTAGTCTATTTATAGTGAATTTACTTTCCAAAAAAGCTTAGCTATTTTCCTGAAAAACATAAATGTTTTTGTTCCTTGAATGTCATCTTAGAGTTAATAAAATAAATGAAATAACAAGCCTTTTTTTAAATGCCACAAATGATTTTTTTTTTTTTTTTTTAAGATGAGAAAAATCACAGTTTATCAAAAGGAGAACTTTTACAAGTAGTGATGAATAGAACATGGGAAACTATAGAAACTAAAATAATCTTGACAATACCAAACTCATTTTTTTTTTTTTTTAGGTTCTCCATGTGGTGCTGGAGGATAAACACTGGACTGAAAGATTGGTTTGAACTGTAAGGTGAGTGGTTCAAACTCACCAGCCGCTCCTCGGAAACCCTATATACAGGGTCACTATGAGTTGGAACTGAATTGACTTTTCCATTTTGTCTAAGATTCTGACAAGATCTGACAACAATATATCCTAACCCACTGGAGCAAGCAATTTGCTTTATCTTCTACATAGACAAGTTATCTGTGTTTTAAATTCCAGCAAACAACTGTTTCACATTCAAAGGATACAGAGGACCACACAGAGAGTGATACATGCTGACAGAACAACTCTTGGAATTCCAACTTTCCGTCCTTCATTCTTGATGTTGACTTTGAGTGTCAATGCAGCCTGGATCCAGCAGGCCAGTGTGCCAAATCCAAAGGCCAAGGAAGTCCCAACATTATGGATTTCTTCATCATTCGTGAGCTAAGGGAGCAACAAATGGCATGTGATGTCCCATTTTGTAAAGAAGACACACAAGTCACTGGAATAAGTGAGGGAAGAGGGATGAAATATTCTAATATGGAATAATACACTTTAGAAGGATCAGATTCCTTCATCTCCACTGGTTCCTTTTGTCTGCTTTCAACTGGTTCAAACTTTGAGATAAAGAAGGGAAATAAACAGCAACCTGGACCCAAAAATAATTGTCTAGACAAACTATACAGGCATTGGTAATCTAGTTCTTAAATTTATTTTCTAGAAACACTTTGAGGGAAATTAAAAAAAAAAAAAAAAACAGGAGTTACAAAAAAGAGAAAAATGTTCAAGATTCTAAAAGCATAACCCCCCCAAATTTTGTTTTCCAAGCCTAGGAAAATGAGATCTGGAATCTGGCTGTGTAGTTACTAACTAATGGTCAGTTCTAGGCAGGTCAAGATTTTATTGGCAAAGACAAGTTAATAGTACTTGTTTGTTCCCTACTCTTACAAAACATCTAGTGTGACCAAATCATTGTTGTTTTATTTTGTCTGATTTACCTGTAGTAATAAGGAGAACTGCCACCTATGAGCTTTTGCGGCACAGATATGTGTCACTTAACAACCACAATATGTTCTGTGAAATAGGACTTTATGTGATTTGAATACTATGTGAACACTATATGAGAGAGGTGGCCAGGAAGGTCACCAAGCAAGCTAGGGCCCATGCAGTGGTGCCAAAAGACTGCATTACATCTTTGGCTCCCTTTCTGCTGGTCCTACATGGTGGCAGCATGGTCTCTGAGAACCAGGCCTGGCCCCTGCCTGCTGCATCTTCCAGACATAACGCTACCAGCTCCTTTCCCTCCCTTCTTACCTGTCTTCCCCACTCCATCTCCAAGCTCCCAATGGGCTTTAGACTCATCAAGCCCCACCTGTCCCTCCTCTGCAGGCCATCAATACTACCCAGTGGCTGCCACCATGTGAATAACTGTGTCCTTAGCACAGGGCGCCCGGCTGAGTGGGGTCAAGGTCTTGGTGGAGCATCCACCTTGGTGACTCTGGTGGTGTCTGCTGTCTGCATGGTCCCTTTCTGAGGAGTGTCTGGTGGGCTCCAGGACCCCTTATCCTGCTGTAGCACATTCAGGGCAGACACAGGACCCAGAGAGCTAGTGAGAGAAAGATGGAGCTCTTTACTTAGCAAAGTATTGCAGCTACATTGCGTTCTCCCATTGGGATTTCTGAACTCTATTAGAACCTTATGGGACCACAGACATATATGCAGCAGGACACTGACCCAACAGATGTTCAGCAACACATCCCTGTATTAGGACACCCATTAAAAGATACCAGTGTGTGAAAATTCGCAGTCAAGGTTTTTATAGAGTTACTCAATGAAAAGGGACTCAGTTGGGTTGTATACATCATGGAAAACCAATTTATTAGAAATAAAAATTTATTTAAGAAATAATTATTTAAAATCATTTTAAAAATACACCTTTTAAACTATTTGGGGAAAAATGGCTTCTTCCAAAGATGAGGAAACCTCCACTCCTCTGCCCAATAGCAAAAAGCATTATTCACAACAATGTCAAATAAAAATGTCCTTCTATCCTATTTTAATAGTCAGTCTCTTCAATAGTCAATTCTCTTTTCCTATCTATACATTTAAAAATATGTGCAATTTCAAAAGACATTTTAAGTGAGATATAATTTTAAATGCCAGTGGATCATGATTTGGGGAATCTTTAACCTGAAATAACTCAAAATGGTTAATTAAATCCACCCAATCTCTAGGATTCTTCTAGGACTTTAGTAGAGAACACATTGTTTAACCAGAAATGTTTATCAAGCCCACAGTTGAGAAAAAAATGATAATTGGTGAGTGCTTTAACAACATGTTCCTGCTTCTGCAACATAAACAAGCAAATGGGAGATAGGCTTCTAGCAAACAGCCCAATAAAAGATTCTCCAGCACTAACTAACATTAAGGAGTTTAAGGGGATAAATTCCCATATACTCTCCTGATAATTCCTTGAGCCAAGATGACTCATTCATAGACTTCCCTGGTACATGTTTTTGTTAAGTGCCGTCAAGTTGGTTCTGGCTCATAGCAACCCTGTTTAGGATCCCGAGGAGCAGCTGATGAGTTTGACCTGCCAACCATGTGGTTCGCAGTCCAGTGCTGATCCACAGCACCATACCAGAAATCCAGGAACCACTTACCATTTTATAAAAAGAATTGGTGCATTTTATAAAAACTATATAGGCCATATAGTAACTAACCAGTTATTATTTTTAAGTAGTTAATATTTTTCTGTAATGATGATGATGATGATGATTTTATTGAAACTATACATACCAGAACACACCAATTCAACCATTTTCATAGCTAGTTATTTTTGGTGCAAACAAGAGATACCTCAGTGGCTATGATATTAATTAATACAGGTGAAGGCCTTACCAATGTGGGAGGGAGGTGAAAAAGGCCAAATGAAGTACCTGAAAATTACCAAGTAAGGTCATTCCAAAGGAAGCCAGACACAGTGCCACCAATCCACTAATATTCAGCCATGGGTTTAAAACTTTTGGTTTCAGTTGTATGAAGCGGAGAACTGCTATCACAAGAGCTATGGATAAAACAAAAAGTGAATAATTTCAATCATAGACTCAGGTTATGAAACAGAGTTCAAAAACTACAATGTGGAATATTAATCTTTCAACACGGTACATTTAAAATCTCTAAGCTAACAATTTTTCTTAGAAATGTATAATGCAGTATTCATGATTGCTTCAATGTTTTATTATACCTACCCAGGGAAAGGAAGAGAAGCGTTGAAGCAACAGTGATGGATATTATGCAAGGATGATAAAATTGTTAATAGCATTGTTAGAGATCTTGAAAACAAGGTCAAAACAGGAATGCAGGCTTAAGAGAGCTTTTCAGAGGCTTGGCACATGCAACAAATAAGATGGGGATAAAGACAGACCACTGGAACAACAGGGCTCATGGATACAAAGATTGAGGTATGGTTTGAATAGGTAAAAGTAGGGAAATGATGTTAAGATGCTTGGCTGTCTTTTGAATCTTGGTTTCCTTTGCCTATTATTGTAAAATAGACACTTGAAGGGGAGAGAGAGGAATAGCAGAAACATCACCAGCGAAAGCTTGTAAGTCCATCTTTGGTCTATAACTGTTTGGAATAACTAAAATGGGGCTAGAAGTTGCCCAGTGAAGGAGGCTTCCTGCAGAACCTTTGCATTGCATAAGACTATAGGTGGAATCCTGATCATCATACAGAATCTTCTGAGGTGGGACATTCCCACGTGAAAAAATAAGCAGACCAGTCTAGAGCAGCTAGAAGAACAGATGATACTTCTTGAAAGAAAGACCAGCAGAAAATAAAACAACCCAG